GCGCAGAGTTGCTGTGCCAGACACAAATGCAAACTCCGGCAACGTCAGCACCTGCAGCAGGCTGCCTGCACCACCTGCACACATGCAGAGACAACGTCAGCACCTGCAGCAGGCTGCCTGCACCACCTGCACACATGCAGAGACAACGTCAGCACCTGCAGCAGGCTGCCTGCACCACCTGCACACATGCAGAGACAACGTCAGCACCTGCAGCAGGCTGCCTGTAAACACTGTTTTTTCCTCTTTTTAATGTTCATGACTGTAAAAATGTTTTGAAAATACGTATAAGTACATTCGCCATTCAAACACCTTCACTGAAGTAGAATTGCCACACGCTCTTTAAAGAAACCGCTAAAGCAATAATAGCGACGCCGTCGAGAAGTATAGCATCTCACGCCTGCCTACTTAAGACTCTTATTTAAAGAGTACCAAGGCTAAGAGAGTAAATTAATAGCATCCTGTTGCCATAAATCTTGTGAATGGCGCGGCAGACAATGAAGCTTGGATTCATCGAATGAGCTTCAAGTTATTAACTGCCTTGAGGTGATATCTTAAGAGCGGAGTGAACATGTACACCCATGTTTTGTGCAGGTTAAATACGCAGCTAATGCTTGATCACTTTAACGAGTGGTTATGATGACGTAATGCATAATGCACATAGGTCGGTCAACCTTGTAACTGATCACTTAAATTATTGCGTATTCATGTCAGCAAGCGAATCCTTGTACGTGATAAAATATACTGTTTGAAAGGTTTTTTGAAAGTTTTTATCACATTGAACCCACTTCTTACACAGTCTCATGACAATGTGTGCGATCAACATTATACGGTTGATCAATCTCTTTCGTTATAATAATAATAATAAAAAAAAGAAAAAGTGTCTTGTAAATTTAAATAAACAGGATCGGTGACCTGCTGATGAGCATATCAGCTGATCCCGTGGCAAATGTTGCGTCACGTGTAGCGCTTTAACAGATCTTGCTTAGCATCGCGTGCATCAATCTTGCGAGACGCCAGCTGCGGTCGAGACTTATTCCTGTACCGATCCTAATTTTACCCTAGAGTCACCGAGAAGTCGCCGAGTTCTCAAACCTGCCGCGACGAGAGCGTAAAATGACGTTGACGAAACAAGGAAGCTTGATTATTTTTACATTAATGGTGTAAAGTAATCGCGGCTGGAGCTAAAACTGAATTTATTGGATTGAAATTTGTAGCTTATTTATACATGTATTTCGCCGAAATTCGACCACTCAATTAAATTTCCTTGAATTGGTCAGTTGAACACGCAAGCAAGTAGAACAAACGCACGTGTTATGTTGATCTTATTTTATTTCCAACACTTTACTATCACGTCTTAATATTAAATACACTGCATGCAAAATAATGCAGACACCTTGGCTACGTGTGCTGTGGAGTCCAATTTAGATGATATGAAAAGCGGTATAAAACGTTTTATTTACTATAGGTTGTTTTCACACCACACAAACAAATGATCACACGGCGCCGAAAGATGCATGGTCCATTGAAGCCAGATTTACTCTTCCGTAAATGTATGTCTTCTTACTCCCTTGGTGTATCCTTGCATCATTGTAGCAGGCTTTTGTTCGAGTACGTCGCGGATCGATAACGTGACAGTGGTTTAATTTACAAATATTCCCAGCCCATATAACACAAGATTGTCTCTTGGCACGCGCCTTCTCGTAGTGTCACTGCCAACTGTCTGTGATGTTCAGTGTCATCGAGCTATATAAGATCGATGTCCTCACCTCATAATTTTATTTATTCTATTTACAATATAAATCTACATATGACGGATTTTCTAGTAATACCAATAAGTTAGTTTTTTTTGTACTATTCAGAGGGATTGTGCAAAAGTTTCATTGCTCAAAATAAGGGGTGGAAGTTCGATAAAGAGTTCATTGTGAACTGCCACGATAAAGTCCCAACAGAAAAAAAAACCGGACCGTTCAATGCTGCAATGCGATCGTATGTTAAGAAGGGTGCGAACCGCAGCACGCAATTCTTTTACGAATATCGAGCTAAATACTTCACTATATTGAGTCAATTACAGTTAACTTTCATTTTTAACACTCATACGTTATGTAAATAAATTTAAGCGATGCAGTGGAGATGACAGGAAAGGCAACGTAATCATTTATTCTTATAAATGCCTTCTGCCCAGTATTGATCGTGATAGGACACTGCGTTCAACTATGGAAAAGATGTCAGGTATGAATATGAAGAAATTATATAGTAAGACGTCTTAAAGCTTTGTATTATTACTTGCGGCGACATGCACCATTGAAAATTACTGAGCACAACAAGTTCAAAGGCTTCCTAGATCACCGATATCGCGCCGAGACATTCGAATCATCCATGGATCCCCGCGCTTCATCACATCAAAGGCAAAATATGAAACGACTTGATGGTTAGACGTGTTTACGAAAGAAGTACGATTTACATATTTTTTTAAACAAACCTTGAATTGAATTCAAAAGAGTGCCTCGAAACAGCAAAATAAACGTGCAGAATCCAGCTAAGTGCGAAAATGCAGAGAATTCTGCATTTTCAAATCAGCTACTAAAATGAATGGTTTTGTAGAATAGCAGGACAATTTTAATCAGCTTCTTAGAAATCTGTATTAAATTTAAACAACTTTGAGAAACCCTAAGGCCTATCATAATTTCATCTCGTACATGAAATTTCTCAACGAATAGAAAGTTTAGTTCATCTCTATGGACGCAATCATGGTTGCGAAAATCGAGTTTAATTTACCTTATTTGTTGTGCTGATATTACCGATTGCATTAATATATTAATAAAAAGAAAGCTTCGAAGTATCTGCCTTCTCAATCCAAAGCTATATTACTGAACCTAGTCATTCGACATAACTACAATTTGACTAAGTGACTCCGGTGATCGCATCCGTTAATGCCAACCAGTGAAGGTAAATTAGTTTCATTACCAATAGGTAGACGATGGTCTGGAAGATGACTGCCTCTGCTTTCAACAGCAGTTAAGACGCGACATTGCAATAGCACCTTAAGCGTTCAACTATACTTAGTAGAGATATAGGAAATGTGCTAGGCATACACAAATATCACTCGATTCTAACTAAAAGCAAGTTAGTTTTTTTTTTTTCTCTATTAGAAACGATATTCATGAAGGCATTTATTAGAATACACGCGTCTAGTTTTAAATGCACTAATTTTCTATAGATTGACGAAATGATTTGTGGTCGAGTCTACGTAGGTAGAAATCAAGATGAAAAGCTGGTTTTTGAACTCTTTGATTGCCCATTCAACAAAATACAATAGTAAGCATTGTGCTTCTGACGCAGCAAACTGATCTAAGTTCGGATTTACGCTTTTGCCTGCAAGTATCGAGCCACCAATTCCCTTGTACAGATGATCTAGGTAGTTTTTAGGTAATCCATTGCCGACTTACACTCAGAAGGAACGATGAACAGGATTAGAAGCAGGCAAAACCAAGTCGCTCTGCACGTTAGTCCCACTTTTGAAGCGGGACAAGTTCTTAGCTGAACTGGCATTGCTACCATTTCAAGAGAAGCTGACCCTCAAATACTTCCAAACCATCATTTTGCTTTTCGTCCATTTTGATCCTTGCAAGGGAACTAAGCAATGAAATTGTACGAGGTATCCGGCAGCAAGTGCATCCCAGCGTTTTTTTCCGAAATCTCACTTCATTGGCTACGCAGCTTGAAAAACCAGTCTAAGATCAAATTTATAATCCTATGCTACCGGATTATCTAGTACTAGCCATCACTAACTTATCGCTTCGTCGTTTCAGGTTTAGATTTAGACCTCAAATGCACGTCTGAGCATTAATCGCCACTGAGCCGTTCACTGCTTACTGCAAGTGTCAGGAGGCTAATAGCTAACCACTTCAGTAGAGCGTCACTGGCTGACTGAGCTCATGATCTGCTGCGACCAGCTGATGGACTGGGTTGTAGCCATGCATCACGTTGCATGAACGTTTTTCGACGCTAAAGCTCTTACGTTTGGCAGGTGACAAAGACGATCTGAATCTTCTATCTTAGATTATTGTCGAGTCTGCACCCCGAGCTCAAGAGTATGACCCGAGTAGGATGCATTCGGCAAAGAACAGCAAAGAGTTCTGTTAGCAAGAACTCTCTTACGAGGGCTCCTCAGTTGCCCCGGAAAAACGTTTGCACCAGATTCCTCCCCCAATACTGTAGTAGAGTTTCTAAAGGTTACTTAATCTTTCAAAAAAGAGGAAACTGATGTCAAGGTGACAGAAAAGAGTTTATGAACACAGGAACTTGAGAACAAGAGAGTCGCTACAAAAACAGGTGGGCGAACTCTCAACGAGAAGCACAAAAATCATGTTTAAAATAATTCCTAAAATTTGACATACGTAAAAGGAAGTTTAATGAGGGGGTGACTAAAGAATATAATAAAAATAAGAGATGTGCGTGAACTTCAAGCTTGCAAAGAAAGTAGCAAGTTGGAAGCAACTAAAACCTTAACAGCTAGACGAGAATATTAACGCCCACACAAAATTCTACGGAACATTAAAAATGTTAGGAATGCTAATGCGATTTAAATCACAATACAATTGACAAACAAATAGCGCATAATTAAAAGAAAACATTCAAACGGAAAAACTGCGTGCGGCGACGTCTCTAGAAACGATTTGCAGTAATGCTCTCGGTATTTCGTGGCATTTATGAAGAAATTCATAGATCCTCTTCTAATAAAAAATTAACTACAAAGGTGACATAGGGACCGTCAAATTTCGAAAAAATAAAATCAGCTTGAAGTATGGTAAAGGACGAGACTACAAGCATGAAAAATTTAAAAATAAAGCCAGCGCATGAAGAATCACTCATGGTCGGGGGGTAAGATCGATTCAAATTGGTAAAAAATTAAATTTCATATCTAGTTTGTGGTAAAATATAGATAATCAAGTAAAAAAATTTTCATGTGACATGTATGCAACCACTGATCGACAGAGAAATGTAAACACTGAGCTAAAATGGGGGAAGTTAAGAAAAAAAGTAATTTAAGGTAATTCCCAAGTTGGAGAGAAACTTGTTAATTAGCGTTAAATTCCTGTTAGGTCTTTCTCTTCTGGTGCCCGAAGATTAAAAATTAAGGTAGTCCAACTTTCCTTCAAAATGAAATTGGGAAACTAGTTTCTTTCAATTGCAACAAGTTCTAACAGTGTTTCATAAACTGAAATGTACCTGCACCCTATATAACCGAGTAATTATTCTACAAAACTGATCAACATTTAGACGATTCCTTCACTGCAATGGTAAAAATTGCATACATTACAAATGAGGCGACACTACTTGAAAATTCTGCACATTTTTAGCATTGGATCAAGATTTTCCAACAAATTCACAGCTCTGAATTGCTGGAAGACTGGTATAATGGGCCTAGTAGTGCCTAAAATTTATTGCAGTCCAACTCTCAGCATTGATCAGGGACATCTCGTCTGTTAGAGAGATTCAGACAAGCATGTTGAGCCTGGTTTGAGTGCGAAGTTTAGAGTTGCGCATGAGCGGCTTATGACAGCCAGCACTGGGAGTTTGATGGTGAGGAGTCACCAGCCAACATGTGCGGCAGAAGTACTTGAAGCAAGTTTCGTCACGACAGAAGTACGGACCTTGTTGCATGCCGCACATCTGACACAGGGAGTCCGCAAGGTACGGGTCGATCTGAACCTGCAAGTTCAGAAACTTTTCATTACCCTATGCGTCGCGACTAATAGTTATGAAATCAGAGGTAAGCTTGGAACAGAAACTTTATTTCTTCGACAATAGCAACGTTATTAGAACACCATCTGATAGGTTTTACCTTCTTGGTGAACTTGGGAGTTTTTATCTCTACGAAAGCTGCCCTGACAGCCTTCCTGTACGACTGGAGATTGTTGAAAGTGATACGTCCCGAGCCAATGGGATACTTGTGCTTGTCGGTGTCAATCCCTGTAAAACAAGGCGAAAAATAACTAACCCGGGAATGGTACTCAAACAGTTCGCATAACTGTTCTATAATTTCGTAGAGTAGCATTTATAACCAAAAGCAGCTAACGGTATACGTAGTTCGTTTCTTCGCGCTTTTCTTACAAGCTTTAGCTGCAATAAGATTGATCGAAATTATTTCCATGAAGCCAAGGTTTATAACTTATAAAATCAGAGAGCATAGGCTCAAAATTCATGAAATATCCAGTCATTAAATTTGATAAGGCTGTATTCTATTTCTATGGCAGCTAGTTCTCCATGATCATTAAGTTAGACAAACCTTTGAAATAGCATGTGATACCAAATCTTTATACGAAATGGTTGCCGCAGCGGATTACCTGCGTAAACCACGCCACCGAAAAGATCATTAATGATATTGGCGAGAGCCTCAGCGCTCAACATGCCATGGAGGGCGCCGATGAAGACGGTCTTGTGAGGGTCCAGCTGATACGAGGGGCAGCGCACGTAATTGCTGTCACTCATCACCCAAGGTATCACTTGCACCTGTCAGAGAAATATACAAGGCTATTTTCTTAAGAAAGAACTTTATACAGTTAACGTACAATTAAAAAAGAGTTGATTAAAAAGTGCCGTACCGAGTTCGATCGGGCGAAGCCGATAACTAAAATCCATGACAAATTGTGCTACTAAAAGAATGGCGACTACTTAGTACTATCCGATACTTCAAACAAATTAGCAAGCTGTCTCAATAACTTGCCTCCTTTTGCCTCATGCGACGGGAAGAGATTTTGAAGTAGTAATTCCCTCCGTTGCTGAAGTCTTGGCTGCAGGAGCTCAACAGGCTCTTCACCTGAATTTGATTGGTAGATTAGACGGATGTAGTCTACAATACGCTTAACTAGGCAAACCGGACGAGGTAATTTCACCCTAAAAAGGTGCAAAATTGATTAGAAAATTACAACGCAATCTTTAATTGCAGATTTTTTTCTTTACTTTCTCTAGTGCGGCAAGCAAATTTATATCTCGCAAAAAACCTTTCAAACATACCTGCTTTTCGTTATCGAAGAGAATATATACGTATCCCTTAGGTGGATTTGCAGAGTTCTCCTTGCCAGGCCACTCCACTTGTATGTTGCCGAAATGAGCAAAGGTTTGACGCAGGGCTGCTTCAGTGACGTCCCATGGTACCCCGCCCAAGAAAACCTAAAGCATCACAGAAACCCTTAAGACCGTTGCCTTCGCCCGTTGGACAATTAAAACGTCCTCTCCATTGCTTATTTATCACCCTCAATGAAATCCGTGTAACCTAAATGTCTTCAACCCTAATTCGATTTTCGATCTTCTAGGCCCCGTAATGGGCAACAAAACTAAAACTGTAATGCTTCTGGAACGCTCTATTTACCTTACAGCTGTAGAAAGGGTTCTTGTGAACCCTGACGGGTAGCTGGCCGCTCCACGTGCATGTAGCCTCACAGACAGCTGCCAAGAAACCCACTATGAGACCAGATGTGAAATCAATTTAATGCAAATGTCTTTATATAGTTTGATTTCCGTTGGCTGTTAGGTTGGTACTTCGCGGCCAATTATGGATTAATGAATTATTTATTCATAGGGGGCGAACAGCGAGATTTAACCTGTACAACAGCGGAGGTTAATTTTGCTCCATTGTACTTGGCTTTTAGCCATATATAGAAAATATTTTGACGTCTGTCAATTTATAATGCCTTCTGCATTTAACGACACAGCCTGCAGTAAAGTCTCAATTTTTTGAAGAAGTATGCAGCACGAATCAGCGTCTTCGATGCAAGATATGTGCTGAACGATGCAACGGAAGTTGGGCCAATAACCATCATGTCTGAAACGAGCCGCGAAAGTTCAAACCTGCAGCTGTGCGGTGCATCTTTGCTGCCTTCTCAATGCTGTAGGGGTCCTGGCCGGAGAGGAAAGACGACAGCGACGACCTCTCCAGAGAGGAGAGAATATCCAGCGTGTTTGGCGAAGGTGAAGATGAGGGCCCCGTTCCGCTCATACCCGACATGATCCCGCTGCTGTTGCCGCTACTGTTCCCACTTGCGCTCAATCTTTGAACGTGGAAAAATATTTACACCTCAGAACTGTACAAGCAGAGGAAGAGAAAGTCGTATGCAAACTTGCTTCGCAAAAAGAACAAGTTGCAATTGAAACGGCCAGTTGCAAGAGCAGGAACGCGCAAGTACACACATACGAAAGTTATTTAGCCTTCCCCCACAAAGACGGAGATATACTTTCCTATTGTCATTAGTCGAGCTATTGAGATCGATCATGCTTTCTATTTGTTGGCAAGAAATGCTCTACTCATTCTGTCAAGCTCTTGATTGATCTACCGTAGTTTCAAAGATTCTATGCAGACGTGGGAACACACCCGTTGTGGTAGCCCCCTCGTGCGTAGGAGAGGCTCGTGTAGGGCGTCTGAGGGTCCAGGGCTCTGCGTCCCCAGCCTGCGCTGCTGCTCAGGCTGTTCTGGAACTGCGTCAGCTGGCTCAAATCTACGCCTTCAAAAATACCAGCAAGGAGGTCATCGTTAATACGAATTCATATGCGAATTGTGAAATTTACCCGTGACTACCAGAAGCCTATGATTAAATAATGTGTCATTTTTATAGACAAGTTTAGATCCAACTGCCCGCTAACGCAGTAACCGTACGAAATTCATCAGTTAGCTAAATATATAGAACTGCATTTTTTTTTACTTTAGCTTACAAGTTAACGAGCTAATAACTGGGCTAAAAATCATCAACACTATTGAAATTAAAAATTTAGACATTGCAAGACCTTGTCCCAATGAGTAGTTTGACATGGACGAGCTGAGCTGCGGGTTGGAAGAGAGAGAAGTGTTGCTAGGGCCCAGGGAAAGAGATTGCCCGGCAATGGAGCCGTTCAGGGGAGCTCGGCCGCTGGAGGCGCTTGTTGACGACAGGTTCAGAGACTCCTGGAGGTTTGTTGCATTGAGGTCAAGCACTCAATTTATCATTCATCGTGACTCTTAGGAATGAAATATAACCTCAAAATTGTGTAAAATTTATAATAACTACCTTGAAATAGAAGGTGAAATGGGACTTGTTTTATCACAGTTTGGGACTGGAGAACCGTGGCAAGTTTCGGCAGCAAGAAGTAAATAAGTATTGAATATCGTCAATTAAAGAGACCTTCAGTGACATAAAAACTAAGGGTTACGAGTGCTGTTCAAGGGGACCGGCTACCCTCCGTAAAAACTTTTACAGTTATTATCTGATCATCGTGAAACTTCACATACAGACGTAAAATGTAAAAATAATAACATTTTGCTCCTATGAATTTTCTGAAAAAATTGATAGAAAACGTGATTTTCATAGAAAACGGCCAAAAACGGGTACTATAGAAAATCTATCTCCTCCTACAAATATCGTCCTACAACATCGAGACACGTATCATTCGATTCGTAAAGACCATACCTATTGACTCTGCCATCCCTTTTTTTCATTTTCCCCATAGTTTCTTTTTTATGCGCGTTTTCCCCATTTTTGCACTTTTCCCTGCCCTCCCCCCCTTCTCCTCCATATATAAGACAAACCATGCACAAATTCAAAAAAAAAAAAAGAGATGGCTAGATCGATAGGTATGGTCTTTACGAATCGAATATGTCTCATTGCTGTAGCTTGAAAACTGTAGGAGGAGATAGGTTTTCAAAAAGACAAAAAACGAGATTTAAATTGTTCAGGGGAGCCAAATAAAGTAAAATTGATTGAAAACAGAAGAATATGCCCAAAAAAGTCTCGATATGGTAGCCCAAGCTTTCCCATTGCCAATTATTTGCATTCAGGGTACCAGCAAGCGTCTTTAGACGCTATTCATATCAAATTTAACGTGAATAATAAGCTATAAATTGGACTTTTTATATATGAAATATTCATTTTACGTAACGTTACAACTGCATTAAGCAAAAACTATTGCATGTACATCAATGGTAGTGGCTTTGTTGAACGCGTCTTGTTTGTAGCTTTCAAACGAGTGCAAATACTTTGCAATTAACCTAAATAATGACATGAATACCATTTATTTGTGAATAATGTTATAAAATGATCATTTTATAAAAGTTCAAGACTGTATTACACGAAAAAGTATTGCATGTACAATTGTACATCTATGGTAGTAGCTTTGTTGAACGCGTCTCGTTTGTAGCTTTCAAACGAGTGCAAACACTTAGTAATTAACGAAAGTAATGATCTATATATATACAGATTTAATTCAAATAAATCTTTGTACATATTGTTAAAAAATGTTCATTTTATGTATTTATAAAATTGTCTTACGCAAAAACTATAACACGCACAGACATGCGGTAAACTGCGTTAGTCGCGTTTCTTTCAGCAGCTACAAAATGAGTCAAGAAAACTGAAAAGCCAAAATTTCCAATTTTTAGGGTAGCCGGTCCCCTTAAGGAACACAGTCATTTTGTCGAGGAAATCTGATATCGGAACATTCATCTATAATACTTGCCAGCAAATTATTGAGATTGATGTCGGTGTACTTTTCCGAAGAATCTAGCTTCTCTTGCTGCTGCTGTTGCTGCTGGCGGTGATTCTGTATCCCCATCAGAATCGCATCATCTAGACTTGGGCTTCCGGGTTCACTGTAAAGAAAACTAGCTTTTGTAAGAAAATTAACTTGAATTAAAACAGTAAGTTGAACTAAGTTACCACGTGTGCCAACTTATCTTCTAGAATGCGTTGAAGCTTTTGCTCTATGCAAGGTCAGTTTTTTATTTGTGAAGCCAGAAGGCTTTCTTTCAAGTCCAGTATTGAAACAATGTTGGATGAAAACAATATCAGATTTCCGGTGACCTAAGTGAAATGGGAACTCTTAGTAATTTTACCATCGTGAATTCCTGCAAACACTTCATAAATAAATTGAAAATCAGTCTCCGAACCTGACTACTGACAGTCTGCCGCGTTGACCGGAAGGGGATGAATAGTGGAACTGGGAGCTGCCTGCGCCAGGCGAGTTAACGGACGCTCCACTGCCACCCATTGATGGGGGACTGTGACCGCCGCAGCTGCTGTTGCTACTGCCGCTGCTGTACTCCACCTTGCTCCTCATGGACTCCGGAGCGTGTTTAGGAAACTGTTGTGGCAGTGAGTTGTAGTTGAAAACTGCGCCATTAGTAGAGCTCAGCGGTCCCGCGCTGTTGCAGCTTAAACCCTAATGATTAAACAATCTTATCAATTCCAAGACCTAGCCTCGTTTTTCGGATATCAATTTCTAGAAAATGATTTAGCGACGAATTGTTCGAACAGATGGAGGTGCGTCGCTAACCAAGGTAGCATTGATTACACTTTTTAGACGCATTCCGATATTAGCAGAACAGGTTACGATTAAACAAATTCGCACGAGCTGGCCGAGCATAAACGAAACCCAAGGTTCTAATGGAAAAAATTTTGCTATCAACTCGTCAAAAATTCTATGCCAAGCTGTACGCTAATATCCAAAGATTTTCCCAAGGTCAATTGTTGAAAACGAATTCTCGTTTGATGCGGCATTCCCGGTTAGAGCTAGATTAACACGATTTATAGAACGCTATTGCTTCACTACTATTGCAGTTAACCCTAGAAACCGAGTAGAAAGTGCGTGAATTTAGATTTCTATTCTAAATATTCTCAACTGTAGAATTTGGACTCTTTTTGGGTCTGTCTCACTGATGTAGTACAACGGCAGCTATCTAGTTGTTCAGACAAGCACGAGTGTCAAGTAGGAGCAGCAGTGGGTCACAAATCTAATTGTTACACCAGCATCTAGAGCCAAAGCCCAGACACAGCAAGCAATAGCTACACTGTGCCTCAGACCTAGAAGCTGCATGCAATACTGGACCGCCTTAAACTAAACCAGTTGAGCAAACGCCAATAAAAAATAATGAAGTCCTGTTGGTTGGGTTTATGCAGAATGTTTAGGTAAGCGAGGAGGTTGGGGAATAGCCGTTTACATTTTATGAAGGTCTGCTGATTTTAGCAATTGCTATGAATTCACGGCTCCTGCGGCTTCAAGTGCTTCACAGGATAGGCTACTATGCTTTCAAGGATGCGTGCTGACTAAGAGAAATAAACGAGTATGGGAGTTGGGCACTGCCTCTAGCACGCCTCCCCAAAAAGTCGCTGTCTATTATCGCTTTTTCTGAGAGCCACATAGCGGGAGAACAATCTAAGCATATAAAGCTGGAAAGACAAAACGTTGTTACGTGGCACCGGTCGAAAAAACAGTTTCGTCAAGAACACCGATTTTGCAACTAATATCGTTATTAACTATAAATGCAAACTAATTAGTGTGGAAGGAAAGTTAAAAATGTAGTAAAACTATCGATTACTTGAGCCACGCAGGAGGCAGCGGCAGGAGTAGTGCAATGCTCGCCATTCGCGTAGTAGTGTCCAGACCCGTTCAGCAGCTGGCGCAAGTGGCACACGTCCACGCCAGCACCACTCCCAACCTGCAGTTCGGGAGAGATCATGAAGACAATAAGCAAAAGCAAACTTGCTCAAACTTCATTGTGACACCTGAACATCTAGGCCCCAAAAAACGCGTCACCATTCTTGCCAATACCAATGCCCAAGCATGAAAGTTCGAAAGAATTGGCCACCAAAGTTTCGGACAGGAAGTTTCAAATGTGAAGTATTCAGTGCCGAATTAAAAGAAGCTCTATTTTTCTTCGGAATTCTCAGCTGGTTCGGACTGATCTCGCGATATGAATATAATTGAGGTTTGATCCCGGAATAAATCTGGAATCGGCTTTTTTAGTTGCTCAAAGGCACCCACCTAATTCACAACGTTGTAAGAATAACCAAATGATACCAAAACATTACCGCCCGCACAACAGCTCGTGAACTAGGTATGTGTCCTAGCTCTTAACGGAAATTAAATTCGATTGTAGAGCCGATCAAAAATTGAACTCTGAACGTACCGAGATGACTAAGGAGCAAGTATAACAGGATAAGATTCGGACAAATCTGCTTCAAATTCAAGCGTAAATTTTCAAACTCCGAGATGTAGCTTACAAAGGATGGACTTCCGCCTTGACAAATACTCACGGAGTGCGCCTTCGAACGAGGAATCGTCTGGTTCTTGTGACCAACATCGTTGCCGGCCACTAAGTTCGACCAAAGTGAATCTGGAACGAAACCATAATAGTGGATACTTCGCGAAATGTACTTCCTAGATTTGCTACTACGCGTGAGTTTCTTTCAGGTGACTAGATACGCAGAAGTAAAATATTAAAGAATGTAGGTGGTTGCAATAGAGGCTGTGATTGGTGGCACACTTTGAGCGAGAGAATAGCAAACTTGTCGCTTCGGTATGAGATTGGTAATCCTATTTCACAGCACTATTCACTCCATTGCTGCTACATGTGCAATTTTGCGGTTGCTACATTTTTGCCCCCAAGATTTTGATCTTCAGCAACGGCTCTTGGAAATCTAAATCCAGGGCCAAGAGAATTTGTACTCTTTGTTTCCCAAAGCCCATCTCCCTAATTAGAGGGAATTCAAAACCTGACTATCTTGTACATATAAATTGAGCATTGGAGGCAATTTTTCCAAACAGGAATTTACATTCATCATAATCTCAGTTAATCTAAATGGTATATATACCTACCAGTCCTACCTGTAAATTAGCATTTTAGCAACCATGGCAAGTTTATAAATTGTCTTTATAATCTGACTCCAAGCACTACAAGAGTCAACTCTTGTGCATTTTGAGTCCACACACAGTAATGCTAAGAGCTAACGTGATAGGACAATTTCACAGGAATGTCTGTAGCCTCACCAATGGAGTTGGAAGAAGCTGTGGACTGTGGAGCAATGTTGCGGAGGTCCAATGTGTTGTTGAGGAAGGAGTTTATTTGTAGGAGAGCTGACAAGTTAGCAGAAGTTGCATCATCACCTGTAGGGCTGGAATGGGGATATTGTGCAGTCAAGAAAAACCATAACCAAGGAAACTAAATGACACTATAAGCTTTCAGATATGTCAATACCAACAAACAAATTCTACAACAATTTTATTCCAAACAAGTACCTTCAACCATGCCTTTGTGTATGACTGAACCATGAAGAACCTAGCTTTATTAATATATTGAGAAACTTACTAGGATTGGTGAGGCATAGTAGAGGCACCAGTGACTAATGCCTGCTCAGTTATCTGAAAAAAAATATATATACAGATATACATATGACTGGCAATTCAAAAGAACATGTTAACATGCCAGTAATGAATTTGAACCCTTTCCAATCAAGTCCCATATCATGCACACAAAACCAGTATCCAACTCAAGGACAAGTCACATGTAGGACCACTTCTACTTCCAGTTAGGAATTTAACTTCTCCTGAGATACACGCTCAGAGTCGAGGATAATATTCTCTTTCACCGTGTAGATTACTCACAAATTCCAAGACAATCTATGACTATACTGCATTTCTAGTTCAAAGTGCTCATTCAGTGAAGGCTTCAGATTTTGAACCTGTTTGCTACAAGTGACGTTTGTAAAAAAAATGAGACCTCTGAAATGCATAGTAGCGAGGCTCAAGCAGTAATACTACTAAATCCAAGTGGTTTAGTAAGGGGAGATGCAAGTAACTAAGAAACTTATCTAACATTGCTTCACTGGCTGACTGACAGCTATTTATTTCTGACTACCCACATTCAGCATTGAACTGCCATTCAAGTCCATTTTGAAATTCAAAGCCAATGCCAGATTTCTATGCATAACTAGTAAATTATTTCAGTCAAGTAATTTTACTTGCATTCATTTTCCAACATAAAAGAACTTTAGCATATAATTAAAAAATCTTGTTATTTTATCAACAGTACTCATGTCTTAATACTCTCAATCAATCCCCACAATTTTCCAGCTCAAGACTTCACAAACAGATCAATAAATACTAACTTTGCCTTATATACAAGATTGAAACTATCTTTTGTAAAGTCTCGCAAACATAGTGGCAAAGCTGAAAAGAGTTGTTTACTCTTCCTCAACCTGAAGTTGAATTTTTAGTCTTACAAGTAGACCAGCAAATGCAAAGTATTATGGATACCAATACCATCATACCAGCAATATCATACACAAGATATTGGTGTAAATCACGAGTAAATGAGGAAATTAAAAATTCAACGATTCTTAAAAAATACAGTGGTTTGCCACTATGCTCACTAACAACATAATTGGATGTGCAGATTCAAGGCATACTTCACTTCATATTGTTGCAATGCTTAGTACCGTAAACTGGGGTAACTTTGACCACTTTTTTTTCAATATGATGCTATTTTTTTACTAGATAAGTTAAACTCAAATTGGAACATGCAAAATACAGGTCTATACTCTAGCTTTACTTACCATAAATTGCTGGCTCCTGCCTCTCATAGTTTTGATGTAATTTAAAAAAAAGTGATGGTCTTTGTTACCCTAGCTCTTGGGGTTTCTTTGACCGGGTGGTAAAATCAGTTTTATTTTTTGGTAAAATAACTCCATATAACTCCATGCATTGTAGTGGAACTCTTCTAGTTACATATGCAAAAGAAAAATTTTAGGAAAGTGTCATAGTTTGCAAATGGGGGGCACCGCCCCCAAATGGGCAAAATGTGACCATTGTAGAGTCTGAAACATGAAGAAAAAAACATTAATAGGTGTATCAAACATAAAATATGTTATATGGGTACCTATGGTAATTTTAACTTAATTTCCAAGCCGGTCAATGTTACCCCGTCACGGCTGCCATTAGGTGGTCAAAGTTACCCCATTGGGGGGCGGCGCCCCCCATTTGCAAACTATGACACTTTTCTAAAATTTGTCTTTTGCATATGTAACTAGAAGAGTTCTACTACAATGCGTCGAAACCTGGAGTTATTTTACCAAAAATTGAAAAAATTAGAGGGGGTACTCCGACAGGCTTTAAATAATAGCTCTTTTTTGTGGGTCACATTTTTAATTTTTTAACCTATTAGATATGCAAACTTTTTAAATCTTTCTATTGTGTTACATAGCCTCAGTATTAGGCCTTTGATGGCCATTGACAAAATTTTTCTATGTCGAATCGTTTGAGTTTAGGGGGTTTTTGTTAAAAAAACGAAAAGTGGTCAAAGTTACCCCGCCGGTCAAAGTTACCCCATTTTACGGTAGTTAGTTGCATTCGATTGCCCACCAAAAGCAAATGCTGGCTCAGTTCAGCAAGTTAAATTGGCCCTACAGCATAACCTTGTTTCAGCAAAATTGAATATCCCTACACAAAGGTACTATTCAGCTCCTTTGAAATATCTCCAAGGCTATGAAGTATATGCTTCATACTAGTTCATAGAATTCGTGGCAAGGGAGATTTTTTTTGGAAACTACACTTTACTTGAAAGTGGAATACATTTTCTAAAGAGGATTACATCTCGACAGCAGGGTCAAAATTCCTCAACTTGCAATACTAATTCCAACCCACAGCAGCCTGCAAAAAAATCTCTCAACTCAATAGATCAGCATTTACCATTTCTTCAGTTAAAAATTTTTCTTTGCAGCAATAGTCCATGGTGGCTAACAAGATAATTTCATTTTATACAGATCAAGTCCTTCAAGTCAGCCATTAACTGAGTAAGATCATGGATGTAGCATAAATAAAAATTAGACATTGATCTGGAAGTAGCACAGGAAATCAATATGAACTGGTTTCTCTAAATGAATATTTACCAACTCAAGATAAACTAAAAACTGCACAACAGTCCTGCATTCTAATTTGTTACTTCTACCTATATGAAATACGTACTATACAAGTTTCAAGCATGCAGAGAACCAATGATTACAATAATTACATATTGAAATCATCCCCATCTTGATCCTTTTCTATAGTTATTCAGCAAATGCTAATAACAGGCCAGACACGAGGCAACACCATCTTTTACATTACAATTGGAAAAATTTCTCCAGGGTCAGGTTACTATCCTGTATACCAATGTCTTGGCATTCACTTACTAACTCATTCACTATACCAGATTTTCCTAGGCTGGCTTAAAGCCACCAGCCAACTTATCCATGTGACTAGGTTACATTACAATTCTAATCTATTTTATCCAAACCTGGGGTGCTAAATTATGGAACATCTATCTGGTCTAGTTCTGCATCTAGCCCAATAAAGTGAATTTTAAAACCCTTGTGAAATCAATGGTAGATTACTGGTATGAACATGCATGTATAATTATCTAGTTTGAACCTATAGTCTATACCTTGGACCCCCATAAGAGTGATAAGACACAATTAAACAACTTTTTATCAGTGCTCCAGACTTCAGTACAAAGTCCTCATACTCGAAGTCTGTCGAAGAAAGTATCATGTGCTAAATCATTATTACATTGAAGTTTACTCTGCTCAAGTTGGGCATATGCCAGTACTTCTGCAGTCTGTTATAACAACTAGGTAGCATTCTTATCGAGTACAGAGATGCAAATGCACGATTCATTACTAGCATCTAGCAATTCTAGTTAGTTTTCAATTGCCCAATGACTAATGCCAATGATGCTGGAATAGGCACAGCACAAGCACAGGAATTGCTTGCAAATTTTCGGAGGGTATAATCATGTTCCAGCATTGATAATTGAGCCACATCAATCAATATTTTGCAAATTGCTTTCATTATCATTATGGTTTGCCTATTTCATTGGTGTCTACATCGCGATGCGCATTCACCGCGTGTCAGACTATCAGTAACAGTTCCATTCAGTTGGACAGAGGCCCTAGTCTGAGGGCCCAGGGACAGGGTGCCTCGACTACGTAGTCGAAAATTTTTTAACTAAAATACAGAGGCACATCATTGCATCTTTGTCAGGAAATCCTGAGAACCACATCTACCTACAAGTACAACCGTTTGTGGTACGATCTAATGTGGATCTAGATCTAGTATGATACAAGATCGTGACAAAGTGTCGACCTGGCGTTCTAAAAAAAAAAAAAATCTACGCCATAATCCATATGCCAATCCGGCTTCAGATTAATGCAATATATCTTTATTTCTAGGCATTCGTTCTCTTCAAATACTACAACTCGAGTTACAAACCTACCCTACAAGCTCCAGCCCCTGGGCAGTCACGTAAGGCTACGGTAGCACGTGCTTTGATTATAGAAGCAGCGCGATTGCTGTTGCAATGCTGAGATCGCACTTTTCACTACGGTTTCGAAATGCCTCCAACACGCAACACCAAACAGCGAAAATATTTATAATTAAAATGCTAATAAATTACTAGACGACAACGGGATCGAACTGCCCAGTCGCCCTACATTATGAATATGAAATATCCTTAACAGAGTATTCCACAACAAGCACAACGCGACCACATAGCTATTATACCAGTCCAATCATCCAATGCCAATGGTTCCAACTTCCAAACAATCCCGCCCTTACAGGCATTATAAGTTTCATAGTATTTACGCTACATAAGCTCTTAGACAGTCATTATTTGCTCAACATCAACGCGAGGTCACATGTAATTGCGAAGCTGCACCCAGCCATGCACCGTTGTAATCGTATTACTATTATATTTAGAGAACATTTTCAGTCATGAACGCAGACATTTAACTTACGTTAGCCAAATTTTGCAGGGGAGTGTTGCCATAACGTTAAAAAATTGCCTTCTAAGAAGGATTCGGGTGTTTTCAATAATCAGAGTGAAGTATAAATGCATCAAGAATTACGATTTAAAAAAATTATATTTTAGTTGAAACATGGATTATTTGATTTTTATACCAAATTGATTTGTGATATTTTGAATTAGAGTTTTCTACCGTTTTTATAACATACATAAAATTTAACACGGAGTTAATGGGACATATAATATTATGGTAACCGCGGCCATCAGGTCATATTCAGTATGAGAATATGCATTGTAGCAAAATAACCTGATGCTGATTCTGAATTTTATGTAATAAGGAACCGCTTAAAACACTTTTGCGAACCGGTCGGACAAAAGCGCGTGGGCGTTAGCGTGGGTTACAGCGTGGGCCAGCCCGGCCCTGAACCTGCCCTATACCAGCTCTCTTTTGGGACGAGTTTTTGTTTTTGAACAAAATTTTGGGTTTAAAAGGAACAGGTTTACCCAGCGAGACGCATTAATTCATGAGACAGCTTGCTAAAAAAGCCGTTTGAATTTTTTAGTAGTTATGATCAGGAATTTTTTTCCTTTTGGATATAGGGGGCATGTAAAATCCAATCATCTGTAACTCTAAATGTGTCTGACTGAGATCTAGCTGATGTTTCAACGCGAAACAACAGAATATAATAATCATTTGAGCAGTATACGTAAATGCGGTTAAGAAAATTATTTATTGCCTTCTACGATAAAACTTGATTCGGCCAAATCCTTGAATAAAGCCAGTACTTCTCAAGTTCTTAGTTGTTTAAAGCTGAATGAGAAAAATGTAGCTCCTGAAACTTAGTTTGTGCAACTGGAGGTCAGAACGATAAATTTTCAGTTCGTTTTTCTTCATGATGTAGCAAAAGATTTTATTAATGATCAGATGATTTCAAAATTTTCTTGTTTAACAGAGGATATATCTGTATAAATATATATATCTGATATGATTACGAAAAAATGACAAAAATACAAAGTATTACCAAGATGAAGGTGATGGTGTGGTGAAATATTTCATTCATCTGAAAATTTATAACAAATCCTTATATTAATAATAAAAAAAAAACAGAAAAAAGTCGAAATAATGAAATTTCTTGACAAAGAAGAGTCTTGTGAAACTCAAAAACAAAGTTTGAAAGGCAGAATGTTTGTTAATTGATGTGCGAAAAGATAGAAAATTAAAAATATGCGCTGAATAAGGTGCTGATGATGGGAGTTGACCGCGTTACATGATGTGAAATTAGTGTAATTCGAACCTTAAACTATTTAAACTTAGTAATAAGCATTTATTTTGTTTTAGTATTTTAGTTGAATTGAAAGTAATTGCGTCTGGATCTACTTTCTGCACCTGGCATAAGTGAAAACTGTTATTAGTTAATAACCGCTAATAACGTAACTCATTTGATCGGTTTTGGGTCGTCCTAATTCTTTGATACTCAAAATCTGCAAGAAAATGCTCGGTGCTTTGGATTTATTTAAGGAATAATTTCTCAAATTGTTTTCATGTTTCCTCTCATGAAAACAAATCATTCATTCAACAACGACAAATTCAACGACTTATTTGGTATGATTTGGTATGATAGCAGTGTATTGAAATTTTATTGCGAAAAGGTTCTTTGGGGTACAATTTTCAGTTGATTAGTGCATTTCGTTCACGGAAATTTATATTCCAACAGCTATTTTTTAGGTTGACCTTAGGCCACTTTTTAACCCGTTTTATTGGAAGATTTCAAATAGCATAATGTCCTCGAAATGCAGTTGAAGCCATAGTTTCAGAAGCGTTTCGTTCGTAACATTAACTCTGACAAAAAAGTCATATAGTATTACCTGAAAATCGTAATCGTGTACTTTGATGAGCTAACAATCCGATTGCCCCCCTGGATATCATTTACACTTTACAGTCTCACAAGCCAACGCCTCATAAGATTCTCCCTGCAAGCAAACAACTCTATGTTGCTTCCACCTGGCTTGGTCTCCCTTCCTCCTTCTTACTAACAAATGAAAATGTGATGCGTGGCTGATGGCCGTTGCAAAGGCCTGACCCTGAAATTCTTTCTCTCAGAGTCACCACGCCCCAAATCCAAATCCAAATCCACTATCGCTAGGCGGTATTTGAGAGATGACTGAGAATGCCTTGATGTTAGCGAAATTTACATTATTTGTTTGCGTTTGACATCGATTAATTGATGTCGCATACGCAGGGTTATTCTGACGAAAAAAGTACAAAAAAGTAGTAATGACCAAAGCTGAAGTCAGAGATCACCGTTACCAAACAATCCCACATCTCTAGAAGCACGGGTTACGAGTATGTATGGTTTTCGTATACCGCGCTCAGAGAAATGAACGAAACTTTGTCCAAATAGTGACGAGCCTTTTATCAGTGTATGAGTCGTCTTGACGCTATTTGGACTGGCAAAGGGCGTATCAGTGCTGCGTCCGCTCTTTGCTCAGACCTGAGTAAGGAAGTGTGCCATTATTGAAGATATGACTAATTCATTTCATTTCTGAGTGCGCAATTTCGTCGCTTCATATACTTACTGCGCAGGTGACCCTGAACGTTAAAGTTGTGACTTGGGTAACTTTAAAGCATTAAGCTTCTCCAGATTCCCTTCTGTTAGAGTCACACGTGCGATTCAGTCAATAACCAGAGCACCTACAAAAGCTCATAAATTTCAACGTTCCTATACTCTTCAGTGACGCAACCACCAATTAATAAAGGCTTTCAAGTGGATAATAACTTCAACATAACATAACAAAACATAACATAACATAGCATAGTGATCTCGGCGCTGAAGTGTAGGCCTGATGTACGTGGCCTGTCGCAGATTCTTTTCCTTTTCGTGCCATGTTCACAGAAGATCTAATATCGTGTCATTTGACCGGATATTTTCATGACTGACGATAGTTTCAAGTAGCTATTAGATTTCCACCGGGTTCGATATGGTGCTAGGCATTGCAAATCTGAACATACATTTTTCCATAGCTTTATCTAGTCTGTTCTTGAACGCGTTCATACTTGGAGCGCCAACGATGTCATCGGGGAGGCTGTTCCACATGTCGGTGATTCGAAGCGAGAAGAAATTTTGTCGCGTGAAGTTGCAGCGCAGTTTTTAGCGCATTTTCTCATTTATGGAAAAAATGCACTATTGTGCTCGCCATGTCCGTCTGTCTGTCTGTCCGTCCGTCCGTCTGTCCGTCCGTCCGCGACCTCAAGTTTTCGTCGACGAGAAAATGCGCTCTCTGTCACTCACTGCAGTGAGTACTGAGTTATATATTTTTTAGTTTATAGCCGTGGCCCCTGGTGTTGGTTCTTTTTCAAATGTCACAGACTTCTTGTTTCAATGACTTCATGTTTAAAAAAACACCGGTTAGACAGGATTTTCATTTAAAAATATGCAACGATCCCTAGAGCCTTAAATTCAAGGCACCTTATTGATGATGTTTAATATAGTTATAATATATAATATAATAATATAGCGGTTTCAGCGTTTATTAGGCCGGAGGCTTGTCGCCGATTCCTAACATTGCAGAACATCTACAGCTTGTTCTGGGCTTGAACTCGCAACTCCTACTTTAATATTGCTTTATTTAACCGCCCGGCTTCCTTGCAGATTCTGACCAGAAACTGGCGCAAGAGCTGGGAACAAACCCGCACCTCTCTGCTCTAATCCTGGCACTCTGAACTTTAATTAACCGCAGGGAACCCTGCCCAAGCAATCCTTATTTAAATCGTTTTCGGACACAAAGAAATGCACTGTTACGCTTAAAGATGCAGAGCAGAAATAGCAGTCGGGCTCGTAGAATTCCATAACGGCGACTTCTGCCATAGTGCTCGGGTAATCTGATGTAGAAAGAAGTTATGTTGTGTAACTTCTTTCTAATGATGTAACTCATGCACTGATGTGGTACTCTCAAGACAGCACATCAATTATTCAGATGCCTGAATAACATCGCGTTACTGCTACCTTTGAAGCTAACGTCACCAAATCACTCAAGTCGCCAGCTGGCAATACAAACGATCTATTATGGAAACAAAATTGAACGACGACTTTATACCGAGATCGAAGCAACTTCGTACTTATAACGTGGTAGTCTAAGCCTACAAATCATAGTTGTGAGTGTGACATGTGTTATACGATTTTAAGTAATGAACGGCGAAGTAATACAGTATGTGCTGAGTGGCAACTTATGTATAACTTGAAGGTATATCATATTGGCCGAACACTGAGCCATCGTTCTAAAGTTCTATAGCTCACTCGCCCTATTCTGCTATGCGCCTTTATGCTGAATAATAAAACGTTCATGTGTCTGGGAGATTTAAAGATTTTGCGCTCCACTTTAGGTGCATCAGTTTAAAGGTTTTGGAATCGCTGCGTATCTTTGAACGAAAACTCTGTCATGACAACGCTTCTAATTCTTATTTTTGAAAATCTCCTCCGTGTTAAATTTTCTCGTTCTACTGAATCACATTGAATTTGTGAAGTTTTGGACTGATGACGGAGGGCGTTTTTGACGCGTTTCCACTGAAATTATGGCGAAATTAACTCAGGCTTTCTTAGATTAGGAATTCTTAGTTAAAAATTTATTTATTCCTTGTCAAACTATTTTATTATTTTCAGCAATTCTTCGTTATTTTAGGTGATTTTTGTCGAGGAACATGTCTTCTGGTCAGATAATACCACTCATAAAATGAATAGGTCATGTTGTCCAATAGTGACACACTTTGCCACCCACAGCACGAGTAACCACCATTTTTGCCGGGCCAAACTGGGTCAGAAGAGTATTATTTTTAGACGAATTCTCACGAAAAAAATAATACTCCAAGAAAGAGTATTATTTTTAGACGAATTCTCACTCATATCTCTGAGTGATTTGTGGCTCAGAAAATCAACTTGAGGAAAATAAAAATGACATGATAATAAATAGGTTTTGCTCGTTCACTAAAAAATCTCACCAAATTACCATCACCATTTCAAAGTCGATGCAGGATAAATAATTTTTAGTCTTCCATATTCCAGTTAAATTATCGGGTAGCAATATTGTTCATTAATTAATTAATTAATTAAAGTAAAAGTGTAGACAATTTAAACTTATGGAAATTACGAATAGAAAGCCTTAATTATATGCTCACTGAAGTACGTATGTATGTAATTATTATTATTATTATTATTATTATTCATACTGACCCGGACAATTTAGATTAGTCGTCGTATTAAAATACGCCTCACTTACCATTTCTAACGCATTAAAAGCAGCCATGATACTTTTGCATGCTAAGAAAACAAAGTTTGTATAAATTTAGTCAGAAAATAAAAAATCAAAATTTGAACGAACTGGGAAGCAAAGCCAACGTTAATACTGATCATTTTTATTTTTATTGATTACCTAGCCATCTTCGTACCAGAATCGATTCACGATCATATAAGTAGCGGAAAATGTTATATACATTTAACTATACGATATAAATAGAACTGATTTCAATGTAAAAGTGAGATTTAGCGACACAACAATTTATTCAGTAATTTTATGGGATGATAAAATTCAAATTAAAAATATTGTAATTCAGATTCAGCGCCTACAAACGTATAAAAAGGCGACTGTAAACTCCTATTTCAGAGCACTACACTATAGGAAAGGTTAAGGCCATTTTTACAAAATTGTCATGATTGTTTAAAATGGTATTTTACTTGATTTAAATTCAATGTAAATAATTTCACATTTCCGGACTGAGGCCGTGCTCCAGGTTTCCAGGAATTGTGCTCAGTAGTTTAAAAATTTCCGCTAGCTACGGTCGTTGGGTAAAACTTCTGCGCCAATAAGTATGACGGTAAGTTATCCCTTTAAAGGGATTATTTTATTCTACTTTGTTTGGTACAGTTCGAAATAAAGTTTTGTAGTAGCCCAGCTTCTTCAATTCCCAGTACGATTCAGTAAAATTGGTATGTACTGGTAATCTGTTGAGCCCCATGCATACGTTAGCAAGTTGCTGGATGCGCGTCAAAAGTTCAAGATGGAATGTGAAGTTATGGTTTAATTGCATTAAATTTCCACAAGTTCGATTATTAATATCTAAGTTGGTATGACTAACAATCCAGTATTTCTGCTTTATGCAGTAAAATATTTGTTCCTTTGGTTCTACTGAGACTATTAAGTCCACGGAGAAAGTGTCCACGTATAAGGTTTCAATTGATTACCATATCACCATAGTTCAATTGCAGGTAGTAAAACTGTCGAATTTTGTCTCGTTATTGCGGTATATGGTATTCGTTGGGACACACAGTGGGTCCTAAACTTTAGTACTCGTACCTACCATCTGTGGTATTCGCTGGACGTTATGTGGGACGGAAACCATTTTCGTTTCATGAACGACTTTTAGTTAAATATTTTACGTTTCACAAAAATTTTAACTACATAACTCGAGATGTTTCTCGCGGCGAATTGAAACTCTTCCCGCCAGCCACTTGCTTTCTCTCGCTCCCAGTAACTCGCCGTTTATGTAAGTTTAACCATCCAATTGCACATTGCGCTAATTATCACCGCATTAGGTTAAGTACGAACTGTTCGTCTTGGCGGTTAATGTTTGCTATTAGAGGCTATTATATTATTAGTAGGCCATTGTAGATGACAGGAGCGAGGTCCCGCTATTAAAAAATAGGAATCGTTATACCAGATAATGATCTAATGCATTTTCCCTAATATTCAAATACGCTGTAAATCATCAATAACTATAAATTGAAAATTTGCATGAATTCATTTAGTTTTGATTTATTTTCTTGTCTGCAAATTATTATGTGTATGCTATTTTACAAATATTTTAGACTACAATATTCCAAAAATTTTAGAATGACTATTTTTCCGGTTTTCTCTTCTATTCGAGTTAGTCATGTTGGTAAACTCCGATGTAAAAAACTGAACGCGTTTTTATCTGAAATCATTAAAAAGCAATAAATTGTGCTTGAAAAATATTACTTTGCCAACAACAATTATAGATACTCAATTACAGTATTTCGTTCGGATATCTTGTTAAATTAGTTTATTATTGATTTGGTTGATGTGTGCAGGCTGCATCGGTGCCGTCAGCTTTCGTCACGTCATGCGTGGAGCGTGGGCTGGAGGACGGCTGGCGGAGTCACGTGGCCGTGAGAGGGCTGATGGCGGCTTACGGTGTCGTGCAGTCAGTCTACCTAAAGTCTGACGCGTGCTACAACTACGTCGTCGATGGTCTTTGTGAGCAGGCTAATAGAGAATGGAGATGAAAACCTTAAAGCTTTGTTATATTTCGACACGGCTTGGTTTCCGACTGTACTTATGTCTTATTTGGATATGAATTCTAGAATTTTGGAACGTCAGATGGAGCTGGACACCGACACGTTTTCTAGAATGATATTGAGATATGGTGAATTTTTGTGCCTTATTCATTTTGATGATCATTGGTATCTATAGACATTTTATGGTGGTTTGTATGAAATAACGCCAGCTTTCTTCAAGTCGAGAAAACAATCCAAGAAAGCGATGGCTAAAAATATCATTAAAGAGCTAGTTTATGAATTTCATCCTAAAAGAGACCAAATTTATATCAAGCGGAGTTTCAATCCACTCTTATCTGTGTGACATTTCTATTAGGATACAGAAAGCGCATCATAGAAGGATGCCACAAGTACGTTTCATCTCATCGTTTAGTCAGGTTCTGTGAAAATCAAAGATTTTTGAATAATTGAGTTTGAAAATGCTTTCCATCTGCTTAAAAATTTAAAGATGTCTGGTCAAAGCCCAGATATTTTGATGTTAGGAATGGGGGCAACACGTGGCGTCGATGTCCATTTTTTTTCAAATCCCTGTACTGCTAGCTCTCTGAGATTCAACTATTTCGCGCAGTTTTAATTTGCACATTGTCAAATCATTTATTTTGAATTTTTTATCTATCAGTCTTTAGATTTTTAACCTAAGGTTGATGACATAATTATAATTGATCATGACTCTTTGATTTCGGTTCTAATTCTTACTAATGATGATCATCTTAAAAATGTATGAAATCAAAAACCACCTCCCGCCTCAGTTGAAAAAATTAACGGAGCTCCGTAACTACTATTGTGAAATAGGATTAGCTCAAATATTGAGTCTTTGCAACGACTCTGCAGACATGATGTGCCCGACTCTGCCGCTGGTGGTGGCGGGAGTGACGCTGGGTTTCTACTGGAGTTTCGGCGAGAGCGACCAGCGGCACAAGTTCGAGACCCGCAGCGCACTCATGAGAGAGCATCGTAAAGACGAGGCTGAGAAACGCCACAAGAAACGCGTCAAGGCCATGAAGATTAGAGGGTATCCTGAAGCAGCTTTCAAGAAAGAGCATAGGAGGTATCTGGAGGAAACGCACGAAGGGATATTTGGCTATTAAATGCTATGTTGAATGGAATTTGTTAATATTTAAACGTTTAACTCTGAATGAAGTATATGTAAGTTTACCCGGTCCTCGTCATAACAAAGCATTACATGATGCCTCCGAAACTTGCATTCGTTTTTGAGGCATTGTCATTTTAATATCGCAGGTGAAAATTAAAGACAATTTTATCTAGCAAATGTATTATAAACCTTATGAGGATGCAGCCATGTGTTGGTTATATTCCTATCAATTCGGCTACATAGCTCGATTTGAAAGAATTTTTATCAATCTAATCAACTCTTCAAAAATAAAAATACTTGAATATGGGCTTCATTGGTCAATTGTTAGTAAAAACTGTTTTTAGGACCGGTTACATTTCCTGAGCAAGCACCTGACCAGTATATACTCAATTCTCGCGGGCCTCTGTCACTGGTGAATAGAAATGATACTCGAAAGTTTGACTTGCTGATACAGTATTTAAAGGCTTTAACTTGAAAGGTCAGCTTTCATGAAGCAGAACGCGAGATATAGTAGGGCCAATCAACGTAGATTTGCCGTGCTTTATTCCTGAAATGCCTTTACATCATATCCTGCTGAGAAAGGCGTAAAAAAAAGTCATCATTTATACCCAACAAATGATTATCTCGTCTTAAGGATGTTAGTTCGAGAACAAACTGAATATCATTATACAAAATACGAAGGTATCTAGCAAAATTGACTCATTTCAAAATTTAATCACATGAAAGGTTTTTCATTACATCCAGCAACTGATTTACGTTAGAGATATAATTTATACAAGCAACAAGGCGTTTATACATCCATCATTTTCCGGGTTATTTGTAACCTGGGCATATTTGCCCCAAACGACTTTTCCTGTTTGCGTGACAAGACCTAATTCACTAATATTAACTTCAATAATGGTTCCTTTAGTGATGACGCCAAGAGTTGTGTACATCACTGAGTTGGGGTTTTTCTTAACACCTATGATGGGTAGACAGAATGTGGCTTTCAGCTCGGGATGTGTGACATGTGCCTTGTTGAACCTGAGCCCCATTGGCCTAATAAAACGTTCGTACTTAGGGGGCTTTCTGGTGAAATTGTCTCCTACGAATGTAACTTTAGTTACTAAACGTTTCCAGCTCTTCTTCTGCCTCTTGCCCGACTTGAGTTCTCTGAAAACTTCAGCATCCGACTGGGCGCGAACTTTAGGGAGAGGTACCGTCCATTTTCCTGCCTTCTCTTTCCTTTTCTGCTTGACCATATTTGAGAGAACTTTTGCCCTACTTTGTCCCTCACGATCCAGCAAGTATGACGGTACAGCGCCTTCAGGGACTTCTTCAGGCTTCTTCTTTTTGGCAAGCTTCTCTTGGTGTGCCTTGATGGCTTTCTTCATCTGAATCTTTTCCTTCCTACGCTTCTCTGCAAACAACTTGGCCTTGATTCCCAGCAGCTTCTGAGCCATCTTGGCCTCCTTCTTAGGCTGCCGTGCAGCCTTTTTTCTTTGGACTTCATCGTGGTCAAAGCGCTTGCCATGACGCTTTTGAAAGAGTTCTATGTGTTCGTTCTGCGGCATAGTAGTTGCAGTCTACTCCTTGTGCCTCACCAGATCAACTGCAACGGAAGAATAGATCAATTAATCAACAGAAATTAAATCTATGAAAATTACAGTAAAGCTCTATATTAATTTCTTTCCTCTTTGATGTTAATAATCTACATTTCATTGATACTAACTAAAAGCAAATAATATGAACAGATTAACTAAAAAAAACTAATAATAATAATAATACAAGCAGATCAACTTGGAAGAAATTTGCAACAATGTAATGAAATAGATTTCAATTGGGGTCTCAGAACGTTTTACAATATAGTTTCAAGGTTGCCTTGGCACTATTAAAGCAAACCTCAAAGTGCGTGTTACTCTTTATAGCAAATCGATAGGATTATTTTCAATATTGCATATTAGGATAATCACCAGAGATAAGAGGCATCACTAAGGATTCTTTAGCTAGCATGTTTGCATAATTGCTTACTCTCTGGTTTTAGGCTGTATTTCAGCCTTAATAAATAGACCTATTTTCTCTGTACCACAAATAAAATATTTGGGTATAATCAAATAATTTATTTGTTTTATAAATGTAAATATAATTTATAAAATGATTTATAAATTATTTGATTGTATGGTACTGAGCATCTCCTAAATATGAGCATCCAATGTGACTGATATGCATAGTCATCCAAGCCACAGGGAAGTGATGATAGGGCTAGCCCCCGATCACTGCCGCGTCTACGTCGTGGAGGTACCCTGGCCTGCGCGTCGGCCGGATGCCCGGCATACTCGCGGGCCAGGCCAAACGGCAGAGGCCCCCCCGCCCGGATCGCCACCGGACGGAGGCTTCTTCTTCATTTTTTCGACCAAGGATTGGGGAACCTCGGCCTCCCCTTCCCTCTACCCCCACCTTTGGCCGCATATCTTTCATGAGGCACTCTATACCCTTCTCTCCTCTCACCTTTTCTTCCTACTCGTCCTTCTTCTCCTGACCCAGGGTATTCATCCCAACCCTGGCCCGTACTCCTGCTCAGTCTACTCCCGCCCAGTTACGCGGCGTGGATATTCGTTCATGTGCTCCATGTGCAATGCCTGGACCCACAAACGGTGCTCCGGCCTTCGCTCCTATCACCTCTACTCCGCAGACTGGATCTGCCTTACGTTCAGACGGTCTGACCCCATCCCAGCCAGACCCTATGGCAATCTCCACTTCTCTTAATGGCTCACCTCTCTGTATCATCAACGTATACATCCCACCGGCCTGCTCCTGCCCCCGGGATACTCCCCGGAGCTCGCAGACATTATCTCCATCCCGGGAGACTGCCTGATAGTGGGCGATTTTAACGCCACCATCCCTCTTGGTTCTCCCACACAGAAGATCAGAGAGGCGCAGCGCGAGGAACAGCAGTCGACGACCTCGTCGCTGGTTCCTCCCTCGCCTACCTCAATGAGGACTCCCATATCCGCCTCCCCTCCCATGGCCCGCCCTCCTCTCCGGACCTCGCCATCATCAGCGGTCACCTACTCAGCACCTCCTGGACTCCTCAAGTCGCCCTCAACTCGGACCACCTGCCCATCCTGATCCATCTCCCTTCCTCTGCTGATTCCCCGACCCCCCGGGCCGCGCGCTCCTATGTCAACTTTAAAAAAGCTGACTGGCCCGCCTACACGGCAGCCATCGACGCGGCGCTCGAGACGGTCCCTCCCCCCACCTCGTGTGGCGGAGAGTCGACCTTGAGAAGAGTCCTGACGGCTGCTGCCAGACAGCATATCCCTGCTGGATTCAGGAAGGACTTCTCCCCATCAGTCAACCCTAGCACCCGGTTGCTCATAGAGCAACGGGATGACATTAGAGCGAGCAACCAAACCGACCCCCGGCTCCCAGAACTCAACCTGGAAATCGGCATCTCCATACAGGCCCACGCCAGGAACACCTGGCAAACACACCTTGCCTCTTGCAGTAGGCGTACCAACCAATCCAAACATTGGAATCTCCTCCGCTCCCTAGCCGGAAAGCGGAACCGCCCTTCCCCAGGGTTGGCAATGATTAAATCAAAATGATTAAATCATGTGATTAAATCACTTGATTTTTTTATAAAAAAATCATGTTTTTTTTATTTTTTCGATTTTTTTTTTATTTTTTCATATATTTAAATATATTGAGTGGCAGTCTTTAATTTATATTGAGATATTGTTATTCATGGTTTAGTATAAATGTACTATGAGTGACAAATTGGTATATAAACTTGTTGCCTTTAGTGTGTATTAGGTTCCAATAAATTCAATGTTTTTGGTACAGAGGCATCAAGTGTGCAATACATTGTACCTAGCTAGCAGCTTAGCTAATTCTTATAAGGCTATAAGCGGTCTTCAACTATTTGACTACTTGTTATATATTGATTACAATATACAATTTAAATGTGTTAGCTAGCTTATACAGGGTGGGGCAGAACTGATTGAACAGTTTTGAGGCGAAATAAAAGAGAAATGGAGGTACACGAAGAAGAAAGTTTATTTTCCTCAAGATTAGCATAGCATACCATATATATATAAAATACTTATGTGTTGAAAACAATATCAGGAAGATGTGTCCGTTAGCTGCAACACACTGTTGGAGTCGTTCTCGGAAGTTTTCTACAGCAAATTCACAGCCTTAGCTGTGGTAGGGTGTGAGGGCGACTTCTTATCCCCTTTCTTTTAGATGTCCCCAAAGAAAGAAATCGCAAATGCTCAAATCAGGTGACCTCGCAGGCCACTGTAAATCACCCCTCAGAGTCTGGGAACATGTGTTTCAAAACATTGAGTGACATTCGGGCTGTGTGAGCTGTAGCCCCATCCTGCTGGAACCACACGTCTCCCAATGTTTCATTTTCAACAATGTTTTCCCTCATGGGCTGCAAGAAATTTTGCAACATTGCAGCATAGCGATCAGAATTCACTGTTACGGTTACTCCCTCCTCTGAGAATGACTCCAACAGTGTGTTGCAGCTAACGGCCCCCATCTTCCAGATATTGTTTTCAAAACATAAGTATTCTCAATGGTATGTTATGCTGACCTCTAGGAAAATAAACTTTCTTCTTTATGTACCTTCATTACTCTTTTATTTTACCTCAAAACTGCTCAATCGATTCTGCCCCACCCTGTATATTGAGAGGTTAAGATTGTATTGACCTTTTAGGCAATTAGAATGATTTTTCACCCTAATACGAGTATTCTAATTAAAATATTTAATTTCAATCTTTAAATATGTGAATTTAAAACTAGAAACAAAACAATTACAACTATAAGACTATATATAAAATATATATAGAGAGGGTAAAGTATAAAGTGTATAGAAGGTAGAGTCTGGTAGATTTATAGGACATAAAACTAGTAGATCTATTGATAGTGCTGTGCACTGTGCTATCAGCTACCTATCTGTTATGTGACTCTTCAATGTTTAGAAGATCTGCATTCCTGAAATTTTGTTGTATAGTGAAGCCAGTTAAATGGTCAATATTTAGCTCGTTACCTTGCTCCATACAAACTTTACAAAGCTAATGAATAGACTTATCAATAATTGTTTACCCAAAAATCCCTAAGTGGTAAACACCACCTTGGCCATTATTGAAGGCAATAAGTGCCCTTTTTAGCCATCCATTATGACCCATATACTGTTATTGTTAGTAGGCTAATTGCAACATAAAAAATAACACTTCAAAATGACAAAAAAGCTGAAAAAATCAAAAAAATCATGAAAAAAATAAAAAAAATCGTTGATTTTTGATTTTTTGATTTTTTAAATCAAAAAAATCACCAACCCTGCCCTTCCCCCAATCAGCCAAACCAATTTGGTTGGTTTTCCCTCTCCTCCCAACGCAAGATCTCCTCCGCCTTCTGCAAGCATTTCACTTCGGACGCTCCTCACTCTCAGAGCCCCTCCACCCGCCGTTTCATACGTCGAATCCGAGCCCAACATCCCCTCGACGGAGACTTCTCCCCTTTCACCCCCGACATGGTGAAGCTTGCCATCGCAGCCGCCAATAACTCTTCCGCTCGGGGTCCTGACGACCTCACCGTTCTTCATCTCAAGCACATCGGCCCGCGCGGCCTCCAGTATCTCACCCATATCTTCAACATCCCCGTCTCCACAGCTTCTATCCCATCCACTTGGAAAAATTCTATAATTATTCCAATTCTCAAACCGGGCAAACCCGGAAACCAGGGCTCCTCATACCGCCCTATCTCCCTCCTCTGCCCTGCAGCCAAGATTTTGAGTGCCAGGTGCTCCCATACATCTTGGGATCTCTCACCACTGTCCCCTCGCAACATGGTTTCAAGCCGGGACATTCCACTGTCACCGCCCTCCTCCCGCTCGCGCACCAGATCGCGACGGGTTTTAACTCCCGGCGCCCTCCAGCCCGCACAATCGCCGCTGCAGTCGACCTCTCGAAGGCCTTCGACAGCGTCGACCACCCTCTCCTTCTGAGCATGATCGCGGCCTCGGACCTACATCATAACCTGGTCCGTTGGCTGTGCTGCTACCTTAGAGGCAGGCTGGCATCCTGCCTCTACCTCAGAACACGGTAGCCTTTTAGAGCTGTTCACTTCGGAGTGCCCCATTGCTCGGTCATCTCGCCGGCCCTCTTTAACCACTTCATCTCCGACATCCCAGTTCCGACCCCCAACATTGCCTCATATGCGGACGACCTTACCATCTTCGTATCGTCCCCGAGTATCGTCCCCAATCTCAATCCCACCCTGCTGCCACTATCTGCAACGGCGTCATCCCCCTGGATAAAACCTCTAAAATCCTGGGCGTCACCTGGGATACGCACTTCACATTCTCTTCTCATGCAAGAGCCATCGCCACGAAAGCGACGGGTTCTCTTCGCATCCTAAAAGCCCTAGCTGGTACCAACTGGGGCTTCTCCAAGGAGGACATTATTGCCACCTACCGAGCCATCACGCGCCCAATCCTCAACTACGCTGCGCGCAACTGGTACCCTGTTGCCTCACGCACAGCAGTTGCCAGCCTGCAGATAATACTAAACACTGCATTGAGACTAGCCACCGGCTGCCTCA